GGTAAATTTCAACATGCTCTTTAAAACTCCATATCTCAGCCAAAGTTCATTCAAAAAAGATCTACTTTACCACAATTACTCTTCAGATGTTGTCAAATAGATTGTCATTTGTTGTATCGGAGTATCTTATACAGGCTGGTCAAAAATTGAATTACTGTTTCTCCATATTCAATGGCGAGAAAGTTGAAAATTTTAAATGGAACGCCCCATATTTTTTTAGTCTATCAGGAAGAGAATTTAATTCGGATTTTGCAAATGTTTCAAAAATCAATGTTCCTGTTTTAATAGTGATTTTGACAATTCGGCTGAGGATGAGCTTAATGGCTCGAAACTAGTAACGTATAAATTAAAATTCTAGCAAGTAAGAAGTTTTTTATTTTCTTTCTTATATACTTTCCGAACTTGCAACATGGATCTATTTCATTTAATTTAAGATTAATTAATTAACGAGATAATTGATGTGTTTGATTAAATATTATTAAATATGTCGAATCGGGCATTTCAACAACTGCATTTAGCCATTGAAATGCCATTAGGGCATTTTGTGATTTCGATAGAAGAATCGAATGACGTATAAATCTTGATAATCGAGTACATGGTTTACGAGTTATGACCACTTAAAGAAGGTCATTTTTGTGTTATTTTCGTGTACCTTTGCAATATTTTGGCGTTTTAGCGAAATTCAAAAGAAATTTCGAATCGGGCATTTCCACATTCGGAATTTTTTTAAAAACGCGTTTCTTATGTACATCCAATATGTCTAATAATAATTAAGATCGTTTTCCTCGTTTTCGATTTTAATTTAAGGAGCCTATGATTTGTTAAGAACAATTTTATGTTCCTTCAATTTGTAGACAAATATTAATTGCTTATCAATTTTTTCATCATTGTTAAATTCCTCACTTTCACTAGAATCTGAAAAGGCACAGAATATTGTTTTATTAACGTTGTTTAACCCACGGTGTCGTATTAACGTCAAAGTTGGAGTACCTAAATTTGCAGGTTAAGACCTGTTCGAATAAGCAATTTGTTAACTATTTAAACGTACTCCTCTGAATGGTTAAACAACTCTTTATTATAATCCAATCAGTTACACTTAATCCAACGGATTTTAAACTATTCAGAGGAGTGAGTTTAAATAGTTAATATATCAGAAGTGGGATAGGGATAAGTTCTACTGTGAAGTGAAGTGCCCAAAAGTCTGGGCCTACTGTGAAGTGAAGTGCCCAAAAGTTTGGATCTACTGTGAAGTGAAGTGCCCAAAAGTCTGGATCTACTGTGAAGTGCCCAAAAGTCTGGATCTACTGTGAAATGAAGTGCCCAAAAGTCTGGATCTACTGTGAAGTGAAGTGCCCAAACGTCTGGATTTACCGTGAAGTGATTTTCGTTGCTGGACAGATTCCACGTCCAAGATTATTCTTGACTTATGACTGATCCACATGGTGAGTTGCCGCCAAACAACACCGAACCGAATAAAGCAGAAACAGAGGGCTTGTGTTTCAATTTAAACGAAGCAGGAATTTTGACCATAACGGAAAGTTCAACTGGAATAGACGGCGGAAATATGCAAAACGTGTTGATCGCACTGACCGAATGTTGAAAGGCCAAACTTGCAACTAGTAAACCAGAGCAGTTCCAAATAATGCCTGACTTAAATAAAACCATTTCAACGTTCGATGGAGATGTTGATTTGTTGTGCGCCGCAGAATGGATACAAAGTGTCGAAAATAGTTAAACAAATTGTTATTGAGATGTAGGAACGACAGCATTTGCTTAAAAATTTTATTCATGTGATGATCTTTTCCTAAAATTTATTCATTATTGCTAAAATTTTATTCATTAGGACCATTACCTTGTAATTTAGCTTCCTCTACTGCATTTACATACATTTTGTTGCTCTTCAGTCTTTTGCCAGTGAAATTTCAATTGCTTTTTGCAATTTAGACTATTACCATTGTATTTTCAGATAACTTGTTGCAACAAGTTATCAAGAATATTTAGGGCGGCCGACGTCTTCGAAGTCGGCCGAGATTATTTCTTCAATTTAGTCTATTCCCAATGTAATTTCATACATTTTCTTGCAATGTACACTCTTACCAATGTATTTGTAGACATTTCCTTGCATTTTAAGCTTAAAACCATACATTTTTATACAATTCAAGCTTTTTCCAATGTAATTCCAGACATTATCTTGCAATTTTGGCTTTTGACAGTGTAAGTTTAGACATTTTCTTGGAATTTAGACTGTTTCCAGTGTAATTTCAGACATTTTCTCGCAATCTAGGCTATTGCCAATGTAATATCAAAGCATTACTTTACAGTTTAGCATTTGTCAGCTTAATTCCATATATTTTCATTAAGTTCAAACTTTTGCCAATCTAATTCGAGACATTATTTTGCTGTTCAGGCTTTTGCCAGTGTAATTTCAAATGTTTTCTTGCAATTTTGGCTTTTGTCAATCTAATTATAGCTGTTTCCTTGCAATTCAGACTTTTGCCATTGCAATTTCAAATGCTTTCTTGCAATTTAGACTATTACCAGTATATTTTCAGATAACTTCTTGCAATCTGGTCTATTGCCAATGTAATTCAAAACATTTGGCAGCTTAATTCTACACATTTTTATAGAGTTCAGACTTTTGCAAATGTAATTCCAGACATTATCTTAATATAGTAGTGACATAAGATGATATCGTGATATAAGAAAGAATCACGGCCGACTTCGAAGGCGTCTTTGAAATCGGCCGAGATTATTTCTTCCAAAATACTGTAGCTTGATATCACGTTGATACAGAACAAGATAGGTTCCAGAAAGAAGTAATCTCGGCCGACTTCGAAGACGTCGGCCGCCCAAAATATCACAAACAACACTTAGGGCGGCCGACGTCTTCGAAGTCGGCCGAAATTCCTTCTTATATTACGAACAATACTTTAGACAAGATTATTTCTTGAATTTAGTCTATTGTTAATGTAATTTCATACATTTTCTTGCAATGTACACTCTTACCAGTGTAGTTGCAGACATTTCCTTGCATTCTAAGCTTAAAACCATACATTTTCATACAGTTCAAGCTTTTTCCAATGTAATTCGAGAAATTATCTTGCAGTCTAGACTTTTCCCAAGGTAATCTCAGATATTTTCTTGCAATTTTGTCTTTTGACAGTGTAAGTTCAGACATTTTCATGCAATTTAGACTGTTTCCAGTGTAATTTCAGACATTTTTTCGCAATCTAGGCTATTGCCAATGTAATATCAAAGCATTACTTTACAGTTTAGAATTTGTCAGCTTAATTCCATATATTTTCATGAAGTTCAGACTTTTGCCAATCTAATTCGAGACATTATTTTGCAATTCAGACTTTTGCCAGTGTAATTTCAAATGTTTTCTTGCAATTTTGGCTTTTGCCAATCTAATTATAGCTGTTTCCTTGCAATTCAGACTTTTGCCATTGCAATTTCAAATGCTTTCTCGCAATTTAGACTATTACCAGTATATTTTCAGATAACTTCTTGCAATCTGGTCTATTGCCAATGTAATTCAAAACATTTGGCAGCTTAATTCCACACATTTTTATAGAGTTCAGACCTTTGCAAATGTAATTCCAGACATTATCTTAATCTAGTAGTGACATAAAATGATATCGTGATATAAGAAAGAATCACGACCGACTTCGAAGGCGTCTTTGAAATCGGCCGAGATTATTTCTTCCAAAATACTGTAGCTTGATATCACGTTGATACAGAACAAGATAGGTTCCAGAAAGAAGTAATCTCGGCCGACTTCGAAGACGTCGGCCGCCCAAAATATCACAAACAACACTTAGGGCGGCCGACGTCTTCGAAGTCGGCCGAAATTCCTTCTTATATTACGAACAATACTTTAGACAAGATTATTTCTTGAATTTAGTCTATTGTTAATGTAATTTCATACATATTCTTGCAATGTACACTCTTACCAGTGTATTTGCAGACATTTCCTTGCATTCTAAGCTTAAAACCATACATTTTCATACAGTTCAAGCTTTTTCCAATGTAATTCCAGACATTATCTTGCAGTCTAGACTTTTCCCAAGGTAATCTCAGATATTTTTTTGCAATTTTGTCTTTTGACAGTGTAAGTTCAGACATTTTTTTGCAATTTAGACTATTTCCAGTGTAATTTCAGACATTTTCTCGCAATCTAGGCTATTGCCAATGTAATATCAAGCATTACTTTGCAGTTTAGCATTTGTTAGCTTAATTCCATATATCTTTATGCAGTTCAGACTTTTGCCAATCTAATTCGAGACATTATTTTGCAGTTCACACTTTTGCTAGTGTAATTTCAAATGTGTTCTTGCAATTTTGGGTTTTGCCAATCTAATTATAGCTGTTTCCTTGCAATTCAGGCTTTTGCCATTGCAATTTCAAATGGTTTCTTGCAATTTAGACTATTACCAGTATATTTTCAGATAACTTCTTGCAATCTGGTCTATTGCCAATGTAATTCAAAACATTTGTCAGCTTAATTCCATACATTTTTATAGAGTTCAGACTTTTGCAAATGTAATTCCAGACATTATCTTAATATAGTAGTGACATAAAAGTGCATTTGCAGACATTTTCTTGCATACTAAGCTTAAAACCATACATTTTCATGCAGTTCAAGCTTTTTTCAATGTAATTCCAGACATTATCTTGCAGTCTAGACTTTTTCCAAGGTAATCTTAGATATTTTCTTGCAATTTTGGCTTTTGACATTGTAAGTTTAGACATTTTCTTGCAATCTAGACTATTGCCATTGTAATTCAAGACATTACTTTGCAGTTTAGCATTTCCTAGTATGATACCAGGCATGTTCGTGTTGATTTGACTTTGCCTACGTAATTCCAGAAATTTTCATGCAGTTCAGTGTAATCTCAGCACTTTTTGCAATTTAGCCTATTACCAGTGTAATTGAAGACATTTCTGACCAGTTTCCATAATCAAAGCACCTAAAATGTATTACAAAAAAATCTTTCTTTGAGTAATAAATTTATTAAAAATATATTTATTAGTACATAATCACTTTGTACATACAATTTAGTTTATTGCATTTAAATAGGGAAACAATCCCAATTAATTCTTTTTAATCATTAATAAATTAACTACATAAAACATTTTTTTTTCAAACACAATCAAATGAATTAATCTACTTAAGTAATCGAAATTTAAGGCATAAGGGGAAAAGAGAGCTGCGTTAAATATTTCCCAAAAAAATAATTAAAATGTATACTTATCACAGTTCTTATTTGCTACAAAGATTTTCTCATATCATATTTTGTTGGCTTCTTGAGATCGGATTTTGTACAAGGATCACTAACCGTGTGATGTGTTAATATTGCACTCGATGATTGTTGCAGAAATCTGAAACGTTTTTCAAATCATTTTCATTATTTTCCTTTTGAAGCTAAATTAACCTGGGGCAAGATCTATTTGAGATGACCTCAATACTGCTTTGACTCGGATTGCTCAAAATTTCAATGTCACTTTCGCAATATTTAATGGTATCTTCATTGCTGCTTTGCAAAGACCCCGCTGAACCTGAATTGGAGAAGAAAAGGTTAATTATTTTTGTTGTAAAAGAAAAATAATGTTATTATTTTTTGGTACCCTTACTGGGCTGGACGACCGTTTCTCGATGCACGTCAGCCACAACAAGGAGGGTGGCTCTCGCGCCGCGCGTTCTTTCTAAAGAAGCGGGGAAAACGAGATGGTTAGTAGGGGCTATGAGACGATTCCACAATACTGTTACGATGAGAAGCAGTGCCATAACTATGGTCAGCGGCAGAATGCGTAAGGTGACTTGTGAATTGTGGTCACAGTGATGATGATCTGTTGATTTATTTATTACTCTTTTTAATTGTACAAAATAATTACTATTTTGTGTATCATTTCTTTGATAGCGCTTAATGAAATAGTATTAATGAATAGTGTGGATGAAATGCATGATTCTTTTTGATAAAAAAAATGACTAAGTTAATGTGTTACCTAAATCTTTTATGATTAATTCAACTTCCATAAAATTTAAACTCTTAAAATCTCCTTCCCGGTTTGAACTACATGAAAATGTATGGTTTTAAGTTTAGAATGCAAGAAAATGTTTGCAAATATACTGACAAGATTCTACATTGCAAGAAAATGTATGAAATTACACTGGCAAAAGTCTGAACTGCGAAACAATGTCTGGAATTAGGTTGGCAAAAGTCTGAACTGCATGAAAATGTATAGAATTAAGCTAGCAAATGGTAAACTGCAAAGTAATGCTTTGATATTACATTGGCAATAGCCTAGATTGCGAGAAAATGTCTGAAATTACACTGTCAAAAGCCAAAATTGAAAGAAAACATCTGAGATTACACTGGAAAAAGTTTGAACTGCAAGATAATGTCTGAAATTACATTGAAAAAGGTTTGACTTGCATGAAAAAGTATGGTTTTAAGTTTAGAATGTAAGAAAATGTCTGCAAATACACCAACAAGATTCTACATTGCAAGAAAATGTATAAAATTACATTGGTAAAAATCTGAACTGCAAAATAATGTCCGGAATTAGATTGGCAAAAGTCTGAACTGCATGAAAATATATGGAATTAAGCTAAACTGCGAAGTAATGCTTTGATATTACATTGACAATAGCCTAGATTGCGAGAAAATGTCTGAAATTACACTGTCAAAAGCCAAAATTGAAAGAAAACATCTGAGATTACACTGGAAAAAGTTTGAACTGCAAGATAATGTCTGAAATTACATTGAAAAAGGTTTGACTTGCATGAAAAAGTATGGTTTTAAGTTTAGAATGTAAGAAAATGTCTGCAAATACACCAACAAGATTCTACATTGCAAGAAAATGTATAAAATTACATTGGTAAAAATCTGAACTGCAAAATAATGTCCGGAATTAGATTGGCAAAAGTCTGAACTGCATGAAAATATATGGAATTAAGCTAAACTGCGAAGTAATGCTTTGATATTACATTGACAATAGCCTAGATTGCGAGAAAATGTCTGAAATTACACTGTCAAAAGCCAAAATTGAAAGAAAACATCTGAGATTACACTGGAAAAAGTTTGAACTGCAAGATAATGTCTGAAATTACATTGAAAAAGGTTTGACTTGCATGAAAAAGTATGGTTTTAAGTTTAGAATGTAAGAAAATGTCTGCAAATACACCAACAAGATTCTACATTGCAAGAAAATGTATAAAATTACATTGGTAAAAATCTGAACTGCAAAATAATGTCCGGAATTAGATTGGCAAAAGTCTGAACTGCATGAAAATATATGGAATTAAGCTAAACTGCGAAGTAATGCTTTGATATTACATTGACAATAGCCTAGATTGCGAGAAAATGTCTGAAATTACACTGTCAAAAGCCAAAATTGAAAGAAAACATCTGAGATTACACTGGAAAAAGTTTGAACTGCAAGATAATGTCTGAAATTACATTGAAAAAGGTTTGACTTGCATGAAAAAGTATGGTTTTAAGTTTAGAATGTAAGAAAATGTCTGCAAATACACCAACAAGATTCTACATTGCAAGAAAATGTATAAAATTACATTGGTAAAAATCTGAACTGCAAAATAATGTCCGGAATTAGATTGGCAAAAGTCTGAACTGCATGAAAATATATGGAATTAAGCTAAACTGCGAAGTAATGCTTTGATATTACATTGACAATAGCCTAGATTGCGAGAAAATGTCTGAAATTACACTGTCAAAAGCCAAAATTGAAAGAAAACATCTGAGATTACACTGGAAAAAGTTTGAACTGCAAGATAATGTCTGAAATTACATTGAAAAAGGTTTGACTTGCATGAAAAAGTATGGTTTTAAGTTTAGAATGTAAGAAAATGTCTGCAAATACACCAACAAGATTCTACATTGCAAGAAAATGTATAAAATTACATTGGTAAAAATCTGAACTGCAAAATAATGTCCGGAATTAGATTGGCAAAAGTCTGAACTGCATGAAAAACTGTCTGAAAATGTCTGAACTGCAGTCTAAACTGCAAGATAATGGCCATAATGAATAAAAATTTAGCAATTGCTTTTTCTTGCAAATTTAAAGCAAATACTTGAAAACCAATGAATAAAAATTGAAGTAATTACTTTTGCTGCTAGCAGTGCAGAAATTGCTTCTAGTCGAATTATTTTCTTAAAAAATAGATGCAATTGCTTACATATGCTTGAAATGCTATGAATAAACTAAGGAATTGCTTTTTCTAGTATGGCACCACTGCATCATAGTGCGTTTTATTTTAATAAAATGACGTAAGTTTGATTTGAAATGTTTAAATATTTGTAATTTTTTTATTGAGAGGTTGAGTTTTAAAACCAAAAAGCGATTTAAAAGCGCTTTGCCCCGTCGGTCGCGTCGTTTTTACATTTTTTGTTTATTCACCTCCAGTATTCTTTCTTCACACAATAGATTAATGAGGGGATTCGCTAATAAGGCATTTTAGTTGATATTCCGGCATTTAAGGGTGATAAAGTAGTTTAGAAAAATAAAACTTATTACTTGAATTAAGTGATAAATACGTACAATCTTTTTGCTAACTAACTGTTAGGTGATTTAGTGTTGAGATCATCAGATTGTTATTTTATGGATGTTAGAAGGTATCGTATTAATTCATTTTTTTGCTATAGAGATATAGAGGCCATTGCTTTTTCCTGCTAGCTTTTACTCCCTTAAAAGTAATTGCTGAAAGCAATTGCTACAATTGTATTCATTAGGGCCAATGTCTGGAATTGCAAAAGTCTGAACTTTTGGCAAATGTATGGAATTAAGCTGAATTACACTGGCAATAGACCAGATTGCAAGAAGTTATCTGAAAATACACTGGTAATAGTCTAAACTGCAAGAAAGCATTTGAAATTACACTGGCAAAAGACTATAAAGAGCAACAAGATGGTCTGTCAAAAAAAGTAATGTCTGGAATTACAATGGCAAAACTCTAAATTATACAAAAATTTTTGAAATTTCAGTGGTAAAAGCTATACTGCAAGGTTAATTATACTGGTTAAACTGTAGATTTGATAAAAATGGCTTGAATTACACTGGAACAATCTTAAGTTACAAGGAAATATTGATGATAGTTGAAAAAACCATAAAAATTATCATAGATAGCAAAAATAAAAATAACTTAGTCATTTTTAAATAATCAACTAAATTCAACACATCAACAAAAATAAAATATAACACCCAAAATAAAACATCCACAAACACTATCCCAAAATAAAGCAATAAAATATATACCAATACTTCCTATTGGCGAATCAGGTCGATGTCCAGCATCAAATCCACTATCCTCCATCCCTTCACTTTCTCGTGCAACAACACATTCTTCATTATTAAAAGTCTCGATATCTTCAACAATTAGATTTTTTAAAGATTCGTGAAAATCTCCATTATTCGAATCAAAATCGGAAGTGGTATCGTTTTTGTCTTCTAACATAGTCATCGTTAACGGGATAACGGTACTTAAAGTGTTAATTGAATTCGTTGACGATGATAATTCGGAAATATCTAACGTTAAATTTTGTTGTATCGGGTATAAAGTTGCCAATAGACGAATTTCAGTCTTATTAAGGCACGAATTCTCTAATTTAAAGCTTTCCGGCGATTTTATATGTAAATACATAGCCGTTTTGTTGCGATGTAAAGGGTGATAACTTAAAGGGTTCCCATTTAAATTTAGTTTTGATAAATTTAAAAGGTTTGTTATGGGGTATAATTGAACGTGATCGATTAAACAATTATCACTTAAATCGAGTTCTTTTAAATTAACTAAAACGCTAATTTCTTTGATATCGTCGATGTAATTATTTCTAATGATTAAAGTTTGTAATTTCGTGCATAATTCGCCCGAAAAGTTCGGGATTGAAGTTAAACAATTAAAACTAAGATTTAAATAATTTAAATTTGAGAGGCAATTGATGTAATCGGCGTTTTGAATTTGATTATGACTCAAATCGATTGAATTTAATTGGGGTAAAAATTCTAAACTTGCGTCTAAATCATCGATTCCATTGTGACTAAAAACGACTTGTTTTAATTCGTTCCAAACGTAACCTTGGACGCTATCTCCACCGCAATTTTCAAAAACCTCTTTTAGATTATTCATCGTTTTTATACAAATTAAATATTCTAGTTGGGTTCGTAAATTTTTTAAGCCTCTTAACAAATTTAAACTCAATTTACGAACTTCTAAGAGTTTTAAATTACGAAATATGCTAATATCAACTTCTGATTCGTTTTGATTTGAATTATTATCAGAGAATAATTTTAATCCTATCGTTTTTTGAACAAAATCATAGAGTAAATGTATATCTAAAAATTGATCTATTATACTCATTGAGTCGTCTTGAGGTAAAACGTGAAAATTCGTGTTATGATTGTTTAAAGAATTATTTAAATTAAAAATTGTTTTAAATGATTCATTCATTTTTCTTAATAGGCCACTTGAAATGCATAATTTGCTAGTTGCGTTTAATACTTCGTCGCCGTTTTCCTTTAAAATCTTACTTAAATCTTCAGCTTCCTTTAAATAACTCATTGTTTATATTTTTATTTCAACCTCATTAACTCATCCTGAAAAGAATCGTTTAGATTACATAAACCTGAACGAAACAGGAAGACCACTCACCTTGAAATTTTCTAAACCAAAACGTTAAGATCCAAAATGAACGAGTTCATTGTGTGATTAAAATTGTTTTCAATTTAAAGGTTGATCTCGAAACTTTTCATTGTTCGTTTCTTTTTTATTGTGCGCGTTTTGTGACGACGTTACGTTGACAGTTTCTTTGACGTAAATCAGCTGATTACGTAGTAAATGTGTAAATGTATGAATGAAGTTAAATTGGTTGCCTATGTTAGGGGGAAAATTCATTCATTTAATTTCGATTAGAATTTTTAATGAATTAACTCTCAAATTCATTGATTAATTTGTGTAGTAGTTTTATGGTTTAATGAAATGATTAAAAAAATATACATAGGAAGGGTGAAAGAATAACAAAAAACGATTTTGAACTTTTTGAAAGAACCACTTTCAAAGATACAAAAAAAATAGAAAAAGTTTGTAGATGCATGTCAAAATATTTTTAATCGATTGGATACACCTTGAAATTATTTTATAAAGACAAGAGAGGTAATAGCAGCAAAGAAGATCGTATTCAGAAAATTTAAATATTTTAAAATTTGATAAAAACTGGTAAACAACACTCATGTTATTCACTAAAAGTATATTTGAGTTTCAACCTTGAATTGCAAGGAAAAGAAGAATGGAAATGCATCAATTTATCTTTTAATCGACCAAGAAGCAACTTTTGTAGTGTATGTAATGCTGAAAGAAAATCAAGGATGGATTTACACCAACCTAAGTTATTAACTTCTTCAGCTTTCCATTTGAGTGGATTTTGTTCATATCGAACAAGATTTTGAAGTTTCTAATCGAGACGAAAAAATTAATATCTCAAAAACTAAAAGGAATTTTGAAAAACCGTTTCTTTTATTGAAAAGCTTATAATTTGTATAATATATGCTGAGAATTTTAAAATGATTTATTGAAATGCCTATTTATTATGATTTTTTGAAAATGAATAATGAGAAAATGTCTAATTATGTTTAGAAATTAATATCTCAAAAACTACAAGATATTTTGAAAACCCGATTCTTTCATTCTAAAGATTATGATTTGTATAATACATGGTGAGAATTTCACAATAATTTATTAAACGCCTGATTTATTATAATTTTTTGAAAATGATTAAAATAATTGTACGTCTAGAAAAATGCAAAAATGCCTTATTATGTTTAAAAGTTAATATCTCAAAAACTAAAAGATATTTTAAAAATTGGTTTCTTTCATTGAAAAGCTCATAATTTGTTTAATGAGTGCTAATAATTTCATACTAATTCATTAAAATGCCAAGTAGATATGATTTTTTGAAATTGTTTATCCCGAAAAATGAGAAAATACCTTATTATGTTTAACAATTAATATCTCAAGAACTAAAAGATATTTTGAAAATCGGTTTCTTTTATTGAAAAGCTTATAATTTGTATAATATATGCTGAGTATTTCAAAATGATTTATTGAAATGCCTATTTATTATGACTTTTTGAAAATGAGTGTAAATAGTGACTTAATCGAATAATGAGAAAATGTCTTATTATGTTTAAAAATTAATATCTCAAAAGCTACAAGATATTTTGAAAAACCGATTCTTTCATTGGATAGATTATGGTTTATATAATACATGGTGACAATTTCACAATAATTTGTTTCAATCCCGATTTATTATAATTTTTTGAAAATGATTAAAATAATTGTACGTCCAGAAAAATGCAAAAATGCCTTATTATGTTTAAAAGTTAATATCTCAAAAACTAAAAGATATTTTAAAAATCGGTTTCTTTCATTGAAAAGCTCATAATTTGTTTAATAAGTGCTAATAATTTCATACTAATTCATTAAAATGCCAAGTAGATATGATTTTTTGAAATTGTTTATCCCGAAAAATGAGAAAATACCTTATTATGTTTAACAATTAATATCTCAAGAACTAAAAGATATTTTGAAAATCGGTTTCTTTTATTGAAAAGTTCATAATTTGTATAATATATGCTGAGAATTTCAAAATGATTTATTGAAATGCCTATTTATTATGATTTTTTGAAAATGAGTGTAAATAGTGACTTAATCGAATAATGAGAAAATGCCTTATGTTTAGAAATTAATATCTCAAAAACTACAAGATATTTTGAAAAACCGATTCTTTCATTGGAAAGATTATGGTTTGTACAATACATGGTGAGAATTTCACAATAATTTATTTAAATCCCTATTTATTATAACTTTTTGAAAATGATTAAAATAATTGTACGTCCAGAAAAATGCAAAAATGCCTTATTATGTTTAAAAGTTAATATCTCAAAAACTAAAAGATATTTTAAAAATCGGTTTCTTTCATTGAAAAGCTCATAATTTGTTTAATAAGTGCTAATAATTTCATACTAATTCATTAAAATGCCAAGTAGATATGATTTTTTGAAATTGATCCCGAAAAATGAGAAAATACCTTATTATGTTTAACAATTAATATCTCAAGAACTAAAAGATATTTTGAAAATCGGTTTCTTTTATTGAAAAGTTCATAATTTGTATAATATATGCTGAGAATTTCAAAATGATTTATTGAAATACCTATTTATTATGATTTTTTGAAAATGAGTGTAAATAGTGACTTAATCGAATAATGAGAAAATGCCTTATTATGTTTAGAAATTAATATCTCAAAAACTACAAGATATTTTGAAAAACCGATTCTTTCATTGGAAAGATTATGGTTTGTATAATATATGCTGAGAATTTCACAATAATTTATTAAAATCCCGATTTATTATAATTTTTGAAAATGATTAAAATAATTATACGTCCAGAAAAATGCAAAAATGCCTTATTATGTTTAGAAATTAATATCTCAAAAACTAAAAGATATTTTAAAAATTGGTTTCTTTCGTTGAAAAGCTCATAATTTGTTTAATAAGTGCTAATAATTTCATACTAATTCATTAAAATGCCAAGTAGATATGATTTTTTGAAATTGTTTATCCCGAAAAATGAGAAAATACCTTATTATGTTTAACAATTAATATCTCAAGAACTAAAAGATATTTTGAAAATCGGTTTCTTTTATTGAAAAGTTCATAATTTGTATAATATATGCTGAGAATTTCAAAATGATTTATTGAAATGCCTATTTATTATGACTTTTTGAAAATGAGTGTATATAGTGACTTAATCGAATAATGAGAAATTGTCTTATTATGTTTAGAAATTAATATCTCAAAAACTACAAGATATTTTGAAAAACTGATTCTTTCATTGGAAAGATTATGGTTTGTATAATACATGGTGAGAATTTCACAATAATTTATTTAAATCCCGATTTATTATAATTTTTTGAAAATGATTAAAATAATTGTACGTCCAGAAAAATACAAAAATACCTTGTTATGTTTAAAAGTTAATATCTCAAAAACTAAAAGATATTTTAAAAATCGGTTTCTTTCATTGAAAAGTTCATAATTTGTATAATATATGGGTGCGAATTTCATAATGATTTATTAAAATTCCAATTTGTTAAGATTTTTTGAAAATTAGTATAAATAATGACTTAACCGAAAAATGTTTAATAACATTTTGTATTTAAATTAATAAATTAATAAATTATTGAGGTCGCACATGCTTTTTCTTATCATTTCACGTGAATTTTTATTTAACAAAGATTAACTTTGTGTACCGATTATTTTTAATTTGTTTGTATTTATAAAACAAATCTTCATTTTGTTCTGCATCATTACTCGAATCATAAAAAATTAATTATATTTCTATTTTTAAAAATATTCAGTTTTATTTTTGTTAAAGTCCACATTTATTTATTAACCTTTATTTTTATTATAGCCGCTTTATAACTGGTTTTAATTTTATGAATCGACAGATTATAAATAATCTTGTAATCTGTATTGTAAATAAGAGTAATAAAGTTTTCCTCTCTTTTAGAAAATATCTTTTATTCGCTCGATTTCGTCTATTTTAATTCTGTTTTTATTTATTTTTTTTTAAGTCACGCTTTAAATTCATTTAATCTAATCCACGAACAAATAAGTATGCAGACTATGTTGCAAATTTTTTTAACAACCCGAAATGCTTCTATAAATTATTTACAACTCATTCTTTTGCTATTTAAATATTAGCGCCTCTTTATTATTCAANGTTTAAAAATTAATATCTCAAAAACTACAAGATATTTTGAAAAACCGATTCTTTCATTCTAAAGATTATGGTTTGTATAATACATGGTGAGAATTTCACAATAATTTATTAAAATCCCGATTTATTATAATTTTTTTAAAATGACTAAAATTGTGCGTCCAAAAAAATGCAAAAATGCTTTATTATGTTTAAAAGTTAATATCTCAAAAACTAAAAGATATTTTAAAAATCGGTTTCTTTCATTGAAAAGTTCATAATTTGTTTCATAAGTGCTAATAATTTCATACTAATTCATTAAAATGCCAAGTAGATATGATTTTTTGAAATTGTTTATCCCGAAAAATGAGAAAATACCTTATTATGTTTAACAATTAATATCTCAAGAACTAAAAGATATTTTGAAAATCGGTTTCTTTTATTGAAAAGTTCATAATTTGTATAATATATGCTGAGAATTTCAAAATGATTTATTGAAATGCCTATTTATTATGATTTTTTGAAAATGAGTATAAATAGTGACTTAATCGAATAATGAGAAAATGTCTTATTATATTTAGAAACTAATATCTCAAAAACTACAAGATATTTTGAAAAACCGATTCTTTCATTGGAAAGATTATGGTTTGTATAATACATGGTGAGAATTTCACAATAATTTGTTTAAATCTCGATTTATTATAATTTTTTGAAAATGATTAAAATAATTGTACGTCCAGAAAAATGCAAAAATACCTTATTATGTTTAAAAGTTAATATCTCAAAAACTAAAAGATATTTTAAAAATCGGTTTCTTTCATTGAAAAGCTCATAATTTGTTTAATAAGTGCTAATAATTTCATACTAATTCATTAAAATGCCAAGTAGATATGATTTTTTGAAATTGTTTATCCCGAAAAATGAGAAAATACCTTATTATGTTTAACAATTAATATCTCAAGAACTAAAAGATATTTTGAAAATCGGTTTCTTTTATTGAAAAGTTCATAATTTGTATAATATATGCTGAAGATTTCAAAATG